TTAAAATTGTCAAGTGCTAATTCTCAGTGAGAAACACAGCTGGCTAGTTTTTGAAATCAACGAACACGGGTATATAGCAAAGCAATGAAAGGCTGAAGCAGTATTAGACCTGAAACCTCCACAATCCCTTTAACAATTCAGATCTTATATGGGCGACTTACATCGCCTTCAAAAAGTCCTGCCCGCTGTATATAATTTTACAGACAAACTCAGACCATCCTTCAAACCGGGCAAAAAAGATCTCTGGGAATATGACCAGCACATGACCTGCATGTATCGAAATCGAAAGCCCTAAACTATCTCTGAAATAACGGAAATGTACCACTACGACCCGAAAAACAATGGGGCGTAAATTGTGACGCTATCCATATCGGGCTAGGCGCCGCACTGAAGCAAGGGCCTCCGGATAATTCATGGGTCCCATTTTCGTTCGCATCAAGAATACACTACGCTCTAGAGAAAAAATTACAATGCAAATGAATTCAAGCTCACAGCGATCGTCTGGTCTGGCAAAAATTTCTGAAATTTTCTACTAGGTAATATATTCAAAGTTTTAACCGCCCACCAAGCAATCTTATTGGCTTTGAAAACAAACTGAGGAAATAAATTTTACCAACCTCGGTTAACAAGCTGCGTGGACCCACTTTTACTTTTTGACTTCAAAGACAATCATATCGCAGGCTCTAAGCTACATATTGTCGGTTTAATTTCACGTCATCTTTCATCAGAATCCCCTGAACCTTCTTAAATTCTTGAGCAATTTATTTTTGTCATACCCCACACTAACAAGCCATTCCCCAGCCCAAATCGGTCTCAGTTGTAAGCCAATCGAATTCATTTATCACCACTGTCATGAAATCGCAAGAGAGCACAAGAAAGGAGGACAAAAGCTCACACCAATCATAATCAAGTTGCAATTCACACCAATATCCGCAAAAAGCCATGAACAAGACGACATTAGGCTTAGCCAAATAATTGTGAGCAGTTTTAACTCCAACTATCCACAAGAGTGTGCAAAACTAATGGACAATTAATTAAGCCAATTAGAATTGAACAATTTCTCTGGCCTAATTCTGCAAGAGCATTGTATGACAAAATTTAAAACAGTCTAATCCCTTAGGCCCGAGTAATTTTTTTCTCGCTCTACCGCATGAGGGCCACATTTATATTTTTATTTACTCCGACCAATCAGATAAAGTTATGAAAATTTGGACTCATCAGTATGCAAAACGAATTTTCCATACTAATTACTGGTTGAACCAGATCACAATCAATAACCTTATCTCTAACTCACCATTTTCAACCCAAAACTCCTAGTAAACAGTACATTTTTCAACTTCGACAACCAAAATTTACGAACTCCAGAAAACATGTCAGCCCACATTTCGACCACCGTTGACAAATTCGATCGTTTGCTAAACAAAGTGGCACACTTTTCCAGGTCCATCATGGGTCGATCTAGACTCAGACTAAGAATATCGATCTCACACAGACCTAGAAGACAGACATCAAGGTAAAAAAAATTGTCCCGAAGAACAATTATGCCACCGCCCTCGCAAAATTCAGATTCAAAAAAAGTGTACAAATAGTTCAAGTGAACAAGGTAAGGAAGCAGCAAAAATGAGTAGTTTGCAAACGATAAAAATTATCTCCCCAGGTTTTCTGGCATATTACACGCGTAGGTTCTAGCAGAGCTGGTCGCAGAGGACCCAACCCTCAGACCCAGAAAGAATGCATTCAAAGCTTCGACTACGATGGTTTCTGTCGCATCGACCCTTACATCCGCATACTCTAGAAGTCAAAGGGCGTAATCGATGGATATGTCGTCATCGATGACAGGGTAACTAAACCTCAGTGTCTCGTCTCCAAAAAGCATTACTCTCAAGACTTCACCGCTCACATCCAGGACAAGAAGCTATAATATACGGCCCAAAACTCATCTCTAAATTGTATTCATTTGCAGCGAATAGAAACCTATTGGAGATCTAATGTTTAGATCTAACAAGTTGTAACCTAAAGCGCCAGTTTGACGAAACCTTCAAAGCAATGGGTACATTTATTTCAGCAAAATTACTCCGTCTCCTAAATGCCGCTTCGGTAATGGTTTCAAAAATAATTTAGTAAGAGAATTTCGTAAAGAAAAGGGAAGAAATCACTTTTTCTGTCCGATAGGTTATCAACGCGGTCGCACTTCAATAGAAAGAACAATTCAAACAATCAAAAGAGAACTGGGAACAACCAATCAGAAAGAGTTGGTCTAAATATTCAAGATGCTATAAAAATCTATCATTCACGATATCCGTTATTTAGAAAAAACCAGTAAGCCATTTTTCCCACGCACTTAATTTTGGTACAAAACCAAAAAATTAAGTGGTTCGTTGTGCTGAAAAAAATAAAGCGAAAGCTGATTTAGATCAAATAAACCTAGCGAGAGATGTCCTGACAGCGGAAGAAAGACGTGAAGCGTGTGACGGCAGACCCAGAATCAAGATTATCCACAAACGACAATCAAGAGCAGACGTATCCGCGCACTTTATAGGAAACTCAGATTCGGTCAATATTATCCCACATTACCAAGCTCTCGAAAACTCGCAAAATCGGGCACTGAGTGGTTGACCTACGAAACGTCCCCGTCATACGAGGAGGACGCAAAAGTTTTAAAGACACTTTTCGATCGTAACCAGGTGTCAGCAGCATCGTTGTTTAACAACCTCACAACCGGAACTCTGAGGTTCAGATTGTGCACCCTCATGCCATCTTCGCCGATATCAAAAGGTAACACTGAACAATTATTAGTTTCGAATTTTACCAAGTCGAAGTTTTCCGGAGAGGATTGGACAAAAAATTGGGAAAATAGTTATTCAAGCTATTTAGTGAAAAGATTACTAAAGTCTTAAACAACACATATATAACAAATAGAGTCAAAGTTTTTACAAAGATCCATTTTTCTATAAGGTTAAAGTCTAATTATTATAGGTTTTCAGACGCAGTTTGTTAACTCCACCGCCAAAGACCGCATTTCGGGACCTCGGCCAGCAAAAAAAAAATGACCAAGAAACAACAGGACACCTCAACTTCGACACCATCGAGGAATGATAACCGACTCGCTAATCTGGCACCCAAATGGAAATTTTTAGCAGAAGCAAAAGTCACAACTCTCCCCACGTGTCTGCAATCTTCATCAAAATTCTGAGCCATAGCCGCAAAACAAGCGAGAAGAGTGGAAACTCAAACTCAAGGGCTGTCAAGCATTCCGGCCCCAATCGCCGACCGCACCAGATTGTCGTCAAAACGACTTTTACCCATCAACTGGACTCTGATAAGCCAACCTCAAATACCGAATGGATAAAAATCAGACATTCAACAAGCTTTTCCCGGCAGATAAAATGATTCCAGCGAAACAGATCAATGCAAACAAGGTCCTAAAAATTTTTTCACTAAATCCCCTCTAAAAGTGCACATCATCCCTGACCCATCAGAACTAGTACCAGTATCTTCGGGAGATGATTTAATCATTGGACCTAACAAGAAACCTCAAGAGTTCCCTGTATCCTTCTCAAATCCAACAACATCACCTGATTCAAGCCCATTGAAATTGCCTCCAGACCAAGGCGACAACGTGTCAATATCTTCCAGATTGTCCGGTCGTAACAAAAAGCAGATGCAATTTTGCGGCAGCTCGGTTAGACTAAAGGAAGGGGAGCAGTGGTGAAGTGGTTACGTCTCCGCCTCTCAATCGAAAGGTCGGATGTTCGAGGCCCACCATGATCCGTGCTCGTTGCTTGAGGGTGAGGCAACATTACCCAGCCCAGAAAAATAACCAAAAAAAATTGCATGTAGTTCTTAAGCAGGGGCACAACAGCGGTTCGCCGTGATGAGCTGTACAGCTCGTATGTTGGTCCTATCCCTCGTGGATAAAATGATCTTAAAAGGAAGTTTCTGAAGCAAACATATCGGGAATCAGTGACTCTATACCAGTATCGCCGGTAGAACTAAATACAACACCTTCACCGAGAAGAAACATCAAATTTTAAAAACTCCAAAAAAAACTTAAATTTCATAAACTTACTTAATTATTGTTTTTATATTCTTTAAATCTCGTAATTTGCAATTGCCTAAGGGGGAATTGTGACGGCTGCGTAGCCTTACAGTGTGCTGGTCTACGCCTTTTCATTAGAGGTTAAGAGAAAGTCTTTCGTGTTGTCAAGGTCGGGACAGGTATTCTGAGATTGACAGACTGCTAAACCTTGCTTAATTGTGTGAACCTATCTAGAGACAACCTGTGAAAAATACAGTTGCATTCCATCTTCGATTTATAAATTAAGCATACCAATTCGTAACCAATCTGAACTTCTTCCTGAATTCAATTTCATCAATTTAGTTTTGGTTAGGGGCAATTTCAATAGTACGTAGTTCATAATCCCACAACAGTCTGAGAAGTTGTGCCGTACTGGGCTCAGAGTTACAATCGAACAATTATATCAACGAGAGTTTTTATTTTAAAGCAAATGGGCTTCAATGTTGCTATTATGGTCATTTTATGATAATTAAGTCAGGCCAGTTTTCCAATTTTCTCTTAACGCGTAATTAAGGCGGCTGATTAATTATCAAAATTGATCCCACATTAACGAAAAAAAAAAACCAATTAATCAAAATTGAAGTTGATTCGAATAGTGCATTGAAAGAATACTGCTTTAATGGACTCAATATTTATCTGCATGTACTTGACCTTGTTCATATGCAACTTGTACGATCAACATTTTAATTTGTTTTTGGAAACGTATTTTTGCATCCAGTAGCTACTTCAGACACAATTGCCGTCAGTCGCTGCGATGATTGTCTCAACCCGAATAGAGCAGTTCTGACTATTTGAATGGGATTGAAAACTTTCATGATATAGCCGTGACAAGACAACCAGTCATGTTTGTTATCTGATTAATGTGAAAGTGCAAACAAGTTGATAACAAGTTTTTAATCATAAGTAGAATTTTAATGTGTTATACAAGCTGACACTGCACAAACTTCATACTGCATTCGAACTAATATTTGCGTTATTGTTTTAGTTTTTGTTACCTTTCTTCTCTTTTAGTTGAACTTATTTAATAAATCTTCAGATTTGCTCCAGTCAGTAATCAAAATTTACCGGTCAAAATGTTCGCCGAGCTCTTTCAATCATTTTCTCAATTTGAGTCTATGTGAGCCTATTTTTTGCAGCTTAATTTTTTGCAATTTAATTCAATAATACTTATACTCGTCGGGCTTCTTGAAAACTGATATCATTTCATAGTTTTTGAAATTTTTGAAATTATTTTTTTTTTGAAATTATATTATCCTAAATTTTTGAAATTATTTCGACTACAATAAAAAAAATCGATATTGTTCTTGTTTTCTAGAAATTTGTTGGTTGTTTTTGTTTCATTTTGTCTGAAAAATTGTCTTGCAATGCAGCATTAACTTATAATTCAGAAATTGAGGACGTTTTCCAATAAATTTGTTATACTTTTTAACAGATTTATGTGACAACGGTTCAAGTTTCTTTATAAATTTTGACCTTGAGACAGCGAAAGGGCGGTGAACATGCAACCAAATTTTCAAAATTGTATTTCACTAGTCAAAAGAGCAATGCGAAACGATTTCGCTTCTTTAGCGACGTCCATTTTTTGAGTAGCTACAAGCCCACAACTTCGAAACATTTTTCATGCAACAACGATCTATCATGCAATTTTCCTGATCAACTGAAACATCACAAAAACGTCAAAAACATGCATACGCGAAACTTCAAAAGATCAATTTGATATAACTCAGCTTTAAAGTCAGAAATGTATTGGAAGTGTATGATTTTATCCGATAATTTTATTTAAAATTATAAAATCTATAGCTCATTGTCATAAAGACATCGTCATCATCAGTAACAACGTTATCTTTAGCAGGTCTTGAGAAGCAATGAGTGTACCATAAAAAGGCCTTTACTTCCGTTACTTCATACAAGATGAACAAATGTAGACAAATATGGCTGTTTTTCCTATTGTTCATAGCTATGACCCTAGATGCCATGCATTTCTCAATGGCAGCTCCCTTTTTCCCGACAAACGCCAAGGCTAAGGGCGTGTCACATGCCCTTATTGGTTTTATAAACGCCTGTGACGCGGTATCCTTCGGTTTAGCTGCTCTGCTAGTCACAATAATGCCAACTCATAATTACATGAAAAGCCTTTACTGCAGTGGGTTGGCAGTTTTTGCAGTATGTTTTTGTCTTTTCGGCCTGATGGGACTTCGATCAGAGGGCGATTGGATTTATGTTTCAGTTCTCGCGGTCAATAATGCCATTCTCGGAGCAGTTTCAGGAGTAGTGTTCGTTGTCGTCGTTCCGCTCGTGTCAGGAATTATCCCGAACAGCTTTACAACCGTAGTTTCGATTATTCAAGCATCACTTGGACTTGGATTTGCTTTGGGTATGTAAATGGAAACTATCACGCCGAACTAACATTGAAACAAAAATATCCGCTCAAAACCGAATTTAATGTCACTGTAAAGGCCTGCTAAAAAGCCAAGTAATTTTTTATACTAATTTGTGGTGCAAGAATTCTTGTATCATGACGGTTATTAGGCCAGGAGTTTTGTCTTTTACATAGGTCCTGCACTCGGAAGTCTTCTATATGAGCTCGGAGGATTCGCTCTACCCTTTCTCTTCATTGGAATCTCAATGGGAATTGTGGCTGTTTTCTCTATAATAAGCCTTCAGTCAATACGAGATGCTACCACAGATCCCGTTGAGGGTGGCGAACAAAGTCTCGAAACAAGCCCAGAGCCAGATGACATGAACGATGTGTCGACATCTCCGGTGAGATTTACTTGTCTATTTCAAATCGATCGCGCCCTATGACATTTTCAAAGCTATCATTTTTGTCAATCAGAAACACGTTATATTTGTTTCTTTACCAGCGGCAGCATGGACAAGCGCTTTCAGTCGTGTTTAAAAAAATCAGTGTCGAGAAAAAACGGTTTGAATTTTTTTGTTTTTGGTCTAATTTCGAGCTAATTAGTAAAATAGTTAGTAAATGCAATAGCTTATTTGAGCTTAATTCAAGCCGTGAAAACTTAGTTTTACTCAAGTAAAGATAGTTTTTGGAGTTTTTAAGCGCAATTTTGGGAAACAAAAATTTAAACATTCAAAAAAAACTTCCGCAAAAAAAAACTTTGAACAAATTTTGGAAATTTTTTCAATTTTTGTTTTTCGTTTTTCTATCGTATTTGATTTTTTGACAAAAGATTATCTTTCAAATAATTAATTTAAATTAACACCAATTTTAAGTTTCTCAGTGTGGGTTCAAATGATGAATGATTAGATCGCTCAGCAAACTGATTGCTTAGAAGTGCAAAAAATCTGGTCTTCACTTATTTACCGTTTTTTAGCATCAATTTCGGAATTGATGATTTACTTCCATTTAAAAAGTCTCAATCAAATAACATGTTTGGCAGTTGTCAAACAATAGAAAAAAATGTGAAAAAAATATAACATACGCTCTTCAAATAATTTTTGAGGTTGATGTTTGACCTGAAAAGAAACTATGAATTTATTTATTAAAAAAATTTTCCTAGCCAAAATGACTTTTTTCAATTATATGTCATTTGCCTAACAGAAAAGCGGCTAAAACTTTGATAAAAACGGCCTTTGAAATTTGTTTTGACATAATTTTTATCGACGCGGAACTCTTAGATTTGCAAATTTCAAAGGGGATTCCCGTAAACTAATTAGTTTGCAGTGAAAAATTTTCCGAGTGAGGCCTGCACTCAATAGCTCGTTCCGATGGACGTTTTTCTGGAATAAAATCTTTTGTTCAAGTTTTGAAACAAAAAAAAATAGTTAAGTGAAATCAATTGTTGAGATTTTGATGGATTTCAGAACCTTCGAGATATCATTTAAGTCGATTTAAATCAATTAAATAGGCAAAAAAATCGACTTTTTTCTTCCGTAAAAATCCATTTAAACCAATTTTAATTCAAATTAAGTAACTAAATTGGCTACCATAAATCGATTTTTCTACAGTGTATTATCTTTCAAATGATCGATTTAAACCGAAAACTGATTGCTTAAATAGACTAAATGCTTAAGTAAACTGATTACTTAAATTTTATATAAAGTTTGGTTTTTATTTATTTACTGTTTTTTAGCAAACGGTAAAAAACGGTGTCTGTTTCAGTATTGATGATTTCGGAATTGACAGTTTTTTCCATTCAAAAAGTCTTAATCAAACAAAACAATGATAGCCGGTTGCTATCAAGATAATGTAAGATAAGAACTTCGAAAATGATAAAGAAATTTTCAATAATTCATCATCATCATTAATGGTTTTCCAGCCTCTTCTTGCATACGAAGGTGAATTTACTGCCAATGTTTTCAGCTAAAAATGACTGAATTAAAGTACAAAAACTAAAGAATTAAAAATAATAACTGCTGAATTATTGTTGAAATTATAGCCTAAGTAAACTGGAATATCCTCTAAAAAAGTCTGAGGACCGACAATTATAGAACAATTTTTTAAATTAAACGTTTAAATTAAAACAGGACTGCATATTTAATGGCGAAGCCCTAAATGTTCCGATGGCCTTTTAATTTTTGCCTTATTTTGCAATACGAAAGATAGTTTGTTTGATTCATTTTTGTCAAGATTTTGATTAGTTTTAGACCCTTCCCATTTTTAAGTCGATTTTAATCAAATTTTAAGACAAAAAAAAAGATTTTATTTACCGTTAAATCCATTAATAACCAGACTAAATTAGTTTGGATATTAAGATTGGTTACAGTAAATCAACTTTTTTATTCAGTTTCTTTTTCTTAAAAATTTCTATTCGAATCGATTTTAATCTAAAATTTATCAGTGTGGGTTCGAATTTTTCAATTTTCTTCTGAGCTAGATTATATTGCTGCCTACACATCAACCGCTCGAAATATATTGCACGCTAATTATCACAAACAGAATCTGAAACTTTTCAAAATACATTCACAGATCCATAATCGCTATAAAATTAAGCTGTGGGTATCAATACTTCACAGTTGGTTTGCAAAAAACACTCATGTTCAAAAAAGAAGAGTAAAAAATTTGAAACTTCTCGAGTGAAAAATGAAAAAAAAAAACACATCAAGGTCAAATAATCCGTCACCTTCTATGAAATCACGGAGTATATATACAATAAAGTACCTCCATAATCATAATAAATTGTTTTCAAACGATATATAATTACAGCGTAATTTAATAAAAATGACTTACAAATACAAATTGAAATCGTTAGGGAGAGTACCATGAAGCCAGCACGGCGCGTTTTCAGGTGTCTCATTAAGCGGAAAACTGAAAAAAAAAAGAGTTAACTCCTTAGATTAAATGCAGTGGACCGTTCTACCGGTAAAAATTTAAAGCGTAAACCTCTTTATTCGCACCTTTAACCCCTTCTCATAAAAAATTAAATTTATGTTTTGTTTTCTCGGGCAATCTTTCCTACCCGTAACCTAAAAACCAACAGAAACAAATTCTTCAAAATCAGCAAAAAAATGTCTCAAAGCATGCGCAATATAATCGTATTTCCTAGAATATGATCATACAAAAAATTATGATTAAAATTATTCAATTGAAACCGAGAAGCCCCTTTCAAGAAATTGACCCAGGTGGGAAAAAATTTACAATAATATTAAACTTTTTTCAAATTAAGCTGTAATCGACCCTCTGTTGAGTTTATTTATAATTATAGCTGAATTTTGATTTGAATTTCTCTTTGAAAATATCACGTTTAACTCTTGTTCAGTATTGGGATATCTCAATGAATCAACTTGGCACTCTTTTCGAATGATTTTCCCGGTTAATTTCAGAATTTCGTACGCAAAAAATTTTCTTAAGGTTTATATTTTTTTATGCAAAAATTTCAGTGATTAAATCCATCCTGCGCGTATAACAATTATTCTACTTAGCCTTCTGATTTTCATTTCCAGTTCTAAAAGTTTAGTTTTGTCGGTGTTTGCATTAACTGAGACTCCATATTGGATGCTTGGTTTCACACAAGTTTTATACGCAAATATTAATTGCTGTCCTGTTAGAAACTTTCTCAATTGGGGATAACACTCCACAGAATTGCAACACTTTATTTTTAACTGATCAATATGCTGATGAAATTCAATTTACTGTCGAGCTGAAATTCAAAATATTTAAAACATGCTACATTCTACCTAGCGACGCTTTCTAAATTTTCTCTCATTGTCTTTTCTCGCGCAATTGTCGTTTGTTCTTTGTGAACAGAGATTGCCAGTGACACTGTCGCAATGCATATGAAACTTTTTGCAACGTCTTAATATGACAATTGATGCTATTATCATATAAAAATTTTTGAAAATTATTTTAATAGTCATTTCAGCAGATTGGAGATACAAATTGCATATCTTTTATCTGGTTTCTACGCAACCTCAACTTCTGGAAAATCTCCCTGTGTATCATAAATGCCTTCTCTCTCTTTGGATTCAGAGATACATTTATGGCCCTTTTCATGCAAACTGAGATGGGCATATCAAATGACAGCACGATCGCTCATATTTTTCTAGCTGCTGCTGGCGGATGGATATTTTCGGTGCTTCTCGTCGGGTTCCTGTGTAAACATAACTTAGGAGGTGAGTATTTACAAACTTATTCGGGTATGTCACTTCTTTAATTTTCAATCATGCGAAGCTCATGAAGCCCGAGAAAATCGATGAAAATTTACTCCTTGTATTGTCATTAAAAGAGATCAAAAAAAGGATACTAAGTCAAACTAATCTAAAAGAGTTTCGATTTCATTTTAAATTTATTTTGGTTCGTTGTTTACAGGTACTGTTTTCTTTGTGACGCTTGCTTCACCTCCTTTCGTGGTGTTTCTGATTGTCTTGAGCTCGTACTTTGAGCAACTGCAAAACGTGTGGTGGGCGGGTGTGCTCCTATTGCTGATTAACTTTATCCAGGCAGGCGTTGCTGCACCTGGGCTTTTAGTACTGAAAAGAAATGCAATCAATGATATGGGAACAGAGCGCCAATCTAATTTGAATGAAGTGAATAACAGCCGTATCGAGCTGTTAGCCAGTGGAATGTTCCAAGTGATGCGATCAATCGGACGGGCAGTTGGAATGTTCATTTTTGGAGGTAATTTTGTTCTCTACTTCGTAGATAATTTGCAAATTTTTGGAATCATTATGCACGGTTTTGATTGGTTTATCAGTAATTCGAATTCATACTTATAAAATTTCATTTTATCGACCGGTAAGATAAAAAATATTTGGCAAAAGTAATGCCAAATAGTTAGCCTTATTTTTGGTTGGCGTAGGGATTGAATAAAATTATAAATGAAAGGGGCTAAGCTCTTCCTACTTCCAAATCCACATTCGCCTCTAAGCTGGAATTTTATGGACATTATCGCTCTTGTATTTGTAATAAGATATTTTCATCTCAGATTAATGTTTTAAATGACTTGATCGATACTGATGAATCATTGGAAAATCTCGAATTTTTTTGAATTATTCAAAGGAAGTTTGTATAAACCTGTATGCATTATTAGGTAAATTATTCTATTATTCACCAAATTGAAAAGTTTCGGAGAGTAACGGTCGTTATGCTGCTGAAATGTATGTTTTAACGGAACAAAATCCGTCATCCAGAACTAAATAATATAATACTTCGATTATTTTTGTATAATAAACAAAAGAATTCTGCGAAACGAGTGCAAGTTTTATCGTAGTCCGTATTGAAAATTGGCAACCATAAATTTTTGCGAACAGATTCTTTCTTTTTTTTCTGTCTTTCTTTCTCTGAAAATAATTTGTTTTGTGAGTATATGTAATGTTTAAATGTTTCAGGATTTGTGGTAGATCTGGTTGATGAAAAAAGAGCAGTTCTGGTTTATCTGACAACATCACTGCTATTATCAATTATAAACATTGCATTTTTTGTCACAAAACCTAAAATTTGGAAATCAAACTGACATTTATAATATTTCGCGATGCCGTTCATAATGTTTAGCGGTGCCGTTCAGATTATCAGTAAAATCACTTATGTCGTTGAGGTGGATTAAAAAATCAATTTGTTAGCAAAGTTTTGTATAAGTACGCTTTTGTACATTGAAATATGTCAATATGTAATTGAAAAGTTGTAGAATGACGCTGTTGTTTCTTATATATCGACACGAGAAGATCATCTTTTAAAATCATGAATCTAGACCCTGAAAGTTCCGACTGCTTTTAATGTGTCTCGGACAGTTTTAAGAAAAGAAAATTTTTAATAAACTATACGTTATGGACCACCAATATCAAATATTGCTTAAGGACTTGACTGTTAAACTAGAGTGCTCAAGTGTCAACTAAGACTGTTAAATAAAAATACCGAGGGTTCAACAAGATTGCTTAAATGAGGGCGTCACCTTGAAATTCCGACGGACATTTAATGTGTATGGTGAGGAGTTCGATATGACGAAATTGCTAAAATTTTCAAAAAAAAATCAACGTTTTCAGAAAAAAAGATTTGCTTTTCGAAAATCATACTTCCTTTAAAGGATATAAAATTCATAGTTCGAATTATTTCGCATGGAGAAACCAATTCAGAGAATGAATACTTTGCATCAATTCAACTTGAAACAATTTCTGGGCCAATACCGTTCCAACAGATGTTTATCTGATCGTCCGATCATGATGGTCAAACGTAATTACCAGTTTGAGATTTGTCCTCTACTGTTGTGAACACAATGGGACAAACAGGGGGACAAATTTATCCCTACCATATGTATTGATAGGGTATACCTTTACAACTAACATGCTGTAAAGGCATAATGCAACCTCTGAATATGTCATTTAATTTTAAAACTTACAAAAGAACTTAGAACTTGGAAAAACAATTTAAAAAGAAAACTTTTTATGGTAACTGTGATCGGAAAACTCGTTTTAATAACACAGCTGGCTATTGCTCAGATTCAAAATGTGAATTGAGAAAAAGAATCTAGTTGTCGACTAAGTGGTCTTAGCAGAGGCTCCACGAGCAGTTGAACAGCTCCGTAGAAATAGTCCAGTACAAAATAGTCCAAAAAATCATATCGACAGTACAAAAAAATTAATCACATACAAAAGATCCAATTGATTGAGGTGATAATTTTTTCCAGAAACTGAGAAACAAAAATTACGCACGGATTTAAAAAAATTTTGGTTCTACTTAATCCGGATGATAAAAAAATATATAGCAGAGAATATAGAACAACCTAGACAACAGCAGCGTCCACCTATTAAAAACAATGATCCACGAAACCTACAAGTTAAGACAATTAAAAATGACTCTTTGTTTATTTCAGTCAAACACTTACAGGTTGCTCAAATTGTTTCATTTGCGAACCCTTAGCACCACTCAATCGAACACTATTCGCTTACCATAAATTGAACTTATATTTACAAACCAAAATTTTGAGTTACTGATATTTGAAGGGTATGCATAAATTAACACCGAGGCGAAGCTTCGCTTTGCAAACACTAGCGAGAACACGACAAAATGCAGCTTCTTTAAAAAATACAATAAAAAAAGTTTAAATAAGCATCGATTTACTAAAAATTCGGCTACGTCTGAGAATGACACACAGTAACCACTCAGCCATGGAAGCTTCTTAGTATATAGATAGAAGATTAAACAATAGTCACAAATAAAACAAAGAACAGATGCTATGCAATTTCCAATGCTACAGTGAAATTTCAAAATAAGTAAACACTTTTAATGAACACTTTTATTTGCGAGTTAGGCTAGAAAAAAGAAGGTTAGTAATAACACACTATGCTGACGCTGGTGTCTACACCGAACACTGTCAGATAACTTTCTTTCCTGGAGCTGTGCACAAAGCAGCTGCACGTGTGCGTTCAAAAGAAGACTCCGTTGAGATCGTTAAAGATCACTGCCACTTCCCCGATCCGGCTGATATCGAAAAACGCTTAGAGATCGAGCAGCAGAAATTATTTTACTTAGCTTAAGTTCTTTAAAAAAAATACAACGGTTGCTCCATTTATGCTGTGGATACCCGAGTGAGCACTCAGATTTTTATTCCAAGACAAGTATTCATTCGAAGAAATTTGAATTAATCGTTTTGAAATACAAGTTAAACTACACTGCAGGTTTTACTAAACTATACAGATAGATCAATTAACTTAGTTCCACATTTACTTTTTTATTTCAAACCAACAAACGTGGGTTCAGTCTTTCTTTTTTTTTGCTTCCGGGAAATTCTATTTAAAGTCATCAGTATAAAAATTAGTCTGAGTTCCAATCTAGATCATCCCAGCCATTTTCACCGGAAGCCTCCACACTTCTCGGAGTATCTTCATTTACACCAGCTTGACGTTCAGCTCCAAATTCCAAGTCAGTAGTTTTACTATTTTCGAGTTCGGATCCGAATTGTTGAGTTTTTCTATTTATCATCTGATTTCCGTCAGTGAAACTTAAGCGGTTCTCCCTAAGACTCCCCGTGCTACTTGAATCGCCACCACTACGCATACTACTTTGTTCCAAATACCGTTCATTCTCATAACTCGAAACAACTTCGTCTGAACTTGGTTCGTTCTCGTCGCTCAGCGAAGGCTTCACTCGGTTAAACTTCCCTGCATATTCTGGAAACATTTCGGGTTCAATTGATTGGCTCAACCCGATATTTGCATCAAAATTTTGTGGAGACGCTTTTTTATGATGTCTGTTACTGCCATCAGGAGAACCTGATATATTTCCTGTTGCTGTAAACTTCTGAATGATTTTTAGTTCAGATTCGCTCAACGTATCTAGGTTACTCGTATCGTCGGTTTTCTGAACTAAAGCTGTATTGCTTCCTTTTTCTTCTCTCTGTTTGCTGGCAGAAGTTTTAAGAATCGACTTCGGAGTGAAATCTTCAGTCTTTTCTGAAATTGGATCCAATTTATCAGCGAGTTCTGAAAGTGGCTTTTTGATAGGTTTCGGATAACTTTTTATGATTGGCTTTGGATTATCCTCTGCGTTATTATACCTTTTAAATCCTTGTTTGCCTTTTCTAGCTTCCCTACCGGCAGAAATTCTTGATTGTGAGTCGTGAAAACTGGACAAAGAAACTTCGCTCGACGATTCAATATCCGAGTCCGATTCGTTCTCTTCATCTTCAGCACAATAAGAACTGTCCACATTCGAAATGGAGCTCACTGATTGGCTACGAGGTCTCGTTTCCACAAACACCACCCGTCGCGAGCCGCCTACTACTCTGTTACTGCCCAAATAAGGCACTAAATCTCCCAGACAGTGAAACGTCAACGAGACTATATCATCATTCGTGTCTCGGAGACCTGCAAGTAACTTCGGCAGCAACAGCTTCGAAATTTCCTTTTTAGGAATGTAGGGTAAAATTGGTTTGAGTTGAGATAACAGAAGAAGTCTAGTGTCAATGCTTCTACTCTGAAGCAGTTTGAGAAACTGAGGCACGACGTGTTCTTTGTACAGGCTCTCACTGAGGAACCCTCGCTCTGATTAGGGACTTCTGATCGAAACTGCTGGGTTCAAAATGTCTGCAATTACTCTTTGAGCAGTCGTCTCATATATTACCCAATCATCCAACAGCAACGGCAGGATTCTAGCCACTACCAATTTAGAATCCAGGGTTGTTATTTTTTCACGCAATGTTTGCAAGAACTGTGTTTTTTCTTCTTCGCTTTTTGTTAGGAAATTGTGGAAAAAATTTACTATCAAACTGTAGTAACTGTTGAATACGGGTTGTTTCAATATATGAACACATTTAGGCCTCAATTTATAATCTTGATTTAACATATGCCTGGTAGTATAACTCACAAAATCAGTTAAGCTAGAATCTAGACTTAGTTTGTTATGTCTTGAATAATTATTGACGTTCAAAATATCGTTTTTAAACAGATGACCTAGCATGTATATATCTCGGGTGTAGCCAAAAGCCGCGGGCACCGCCGCTTCGCAGCTATCTTCGGGAGGCAACAGATGCGAAGGAATTTTATTCTGGGCGAACACTTGCCAAGAAGAGTTTGTGAATTTCGACATATTTTCTAAACATCCCAATTTCCACTCTCCACTGTCGGCTACAAATATTGATGACATAAGCACATTATTGTAACTACAGAGACATTTATCGTGGATGAACATAAGTGCATTTGTTACATTATGCATTCCATGCACTAACTCTTGGGCGGTCATGTCTTTAAGGCACTGTACTAAGGGTATCGCGTTCTCGAAAACTATGTGTGTTGTTAGAGACGAATCTACAGAATATGCTTCCGTGTAATAAAGAAGACTTGGGTGTTTTATTGTTCGAGAGAAATGCTTCAAGTTCTCCATTAAGTGTTTGTCCCCTGAGAAGATGAGGACCGAATTCTTTCTAGAATGTTCCGTGAGCTTGGGCTTGGCCCTCTGAATTACGTACGCATGACTCTGTGTTGTTTCGACTGGATGCAATCCATCAAAATGAGCCTTCAGAAGGGACGAGTCTGATGTCCCCATCGTTTTGAGTTCTAAGATACTCTAGATCACCTGTAAGTCTCTGTTAGCTATCTACATTACAAATCCTAAAACGAAACGAAACTATCGAATAATATAAAGTAGACTACGATACTCATTCCGAGGGAGCTAAGAAATTACATTAAAAATTAACATAACTTTCCAATCGATCTAAATTCATGTTGCTATCGTACAGGCAAAGAGTAAAACTTTCGGTTTACTTTCGGCTGAAAAAAATCGAACTAGATCCAATTTCACCTTTGGCTTTAAAAAATTGACACGATGTTTTTCTCGACACTGAAATACTTTTTAGAAATATTTATGCAAACTCAAATCATGACTAGAAGTGCTTTCGGATCAACCCTACAATTTCCCCCCTAAATTGATTTAGGGGGAGAAAATGTGGATTTTTCAGGAAATAACTTTGAGTATACCTTAGATTTATAGAAAAATAAGTTTATTTAGAGAAAATTGATTATAAATACGTTAGTTTAGGTTATTAACAGCATTCAAAAACAATACCACAAAAAAAATGTGACAACCAATTTTCGGTGCGCGTTTGTTTGATATGCATACATTATACAGAATTAATTTTCAATCTTAGTACGTGGCTGGGGGGATTCTACGGTTGGTCACATAGGGTGGGGAGATTGTACGGTTGATCCGCGCTTTCATATCATATACTACTCAACCCCTTCTGACTTAATAAAATATACCTGATTTTCGGTTACTAAAAACATTCGAAGCCAAAGTTCCTCTTCGCCTTCTGTGGTCGGAGCATATCACGTACATCCTACAAACAAACTCAAATACAGAGACGAATCTGCAATACGCAAAAACAAGTAAGAAAAATAAGAAAGAAAAAACAAAAATAAGGAAAGAAACTGCAGTATCAGCCTTGAAAAATAAAATTTCAAACCAGAAAACGAGATTCATAGCCTCACATTCTCGCATCTGCGGCATGGTCGTTTAATAGCCAGTAAACACTAGCCACTAAAAAACCGATATAACATATGCTCTTATATTGTCAATGCTATTGTTGTTGCTGTTGAAGATTTACAGCTAGCTGATGGGCGCATGGTCCCAGTTGTAAAATATTAAAATAAAGTTCAAATATTTCTGCATCTGTTGCAATCGCGAGCGAGTTGCCACGTGCAGACATTTGTTTTTGAGAATCGTTCGTCAACAAATTTCCACATGAATTTGATCAATCTATTTTTATTTCGATAGGTTTGCTGATGTCGATGTATTTCTTGATTCGATTCACAAGCCTGCAAGTTCTGAAGACAAATTCACCTCTAGCCTTTTCAGTCCTCGTCTTGTAATGTTTGAACACTTCCGTGATTCTTCTTTGGGGGTCTTGACGCTCAGGTAAACTAATAATCTCGTTGTCTTTGGTCATAACCTTTACGAGGAACAAAATACCACTCATTTGAATGAAAATTGGAAATGGCAGAATATTCAGAAGCCGTAACTGATTTCCATAGTACGATCCCGTGATACCTGTTATCCATCTGGCAACCTTTTTTTGATAACGTTCAAGAGACTTTTAACTTGATCACCCTGTAGGTCACCCTTTACTTGCCAGAATTTCTTCCCAACAGCTAAAAATTTGAATTCGTCTGCAAAGATGAAAGGATCAGAGAATTTCAGGACATCAGGCAGGTCGTTAATGAAAATACAAAACAAAATGGATCCCAAGAGTACCCTTGAGGTACCCCGCTGGTAACATCTAGAACTCGTATTGTCCACTCTGACGAAATGTTCTCTGTTTAGGTAATCTATTATGATTTCAAGCACAGCCTTCTACTCCTATTTTTGCAAGTTTTTTCACCAGTTCGAGGTGAGGTACTTTGTCGAACGCTTTCGAAAAATCGGTGTAAAACGCAACAACTTCTGAGTTTGGGTCGCTGTCCTGTGCTTCGTGTATCTTCTACAGAAATGACAACATATTCGTCAGAACAGATGTTTTTGACAAGTCCATGTTGGTGCGGTGTAGTGTAACGACAGAAGTGTTCAATGTATATAGATTTCTCAAGAAATCCAAGTATGCAACCAATGAGCTCTTATTTGCAAGTTGGGTTCGAGAAGATTGCTGTGTAATCAAAAATTTTCGGAAATTTTGACGAGCTTTTTTTAGGTCGATCAAATTGAATTCCCGAGCTCTCCTAAAGCACTAAAAAGACGCTATTTTGGGCAAATTTTCTGCGCAGCAGGCAACTTTTTGAAAAACAGGTCAAAAAAGCCGTTCTTAGGCACTTTTTGGAAAATTTTAACAAAAAAATCGCGTTTTTTAAGAAAAAAAGCCAAAGGCGCCTTTAGAAAAATTTTAGGGTCGGTCGGCCAAAATTGGATTTCTTAAAAAGTTCCAAAGGCGGGACCCTTCGGGTCGAATCCCTGAAAGGGCGTCCGACCCCACCGCCCCCATCAAACCCCCCTAAATCCGCCCCTGCTTTCAAGCATACTAAATTATTCAATTTAAAAAAAGTTTCACGGCAATTACGTAACACGGTGTTAAGTAATGAATGTCAAAATTTCTCTGAATTCGTCGAAGTACGAAAAAAAAATTTATGTACAACCTTCTTTAATTTTCACGTTCCTTATTCTTTATTCGTTACATTATAAAACTAATATGGTTAAAGAACAGCAGGAGCTTGATATCGAATTTCCGACAAGACAAAGTGGGAAAAAATATGACTCAGGTTTTTTTTACTTCTTTAAGATTCCACGCACCTCGAGGAAAGCTGGTAGGAGAGCGAATGTTCTTTTGTTTTTAACCCTATTCAGTGGTAAAATAATACACAAATAGGCGGAGCAGTTCTTCGCGAAACATGACGGAAAATGAGATGGCAGAAATTGAGACGAAAGCCTAATTCGAAAAAAATTATGACGAGAAACACAATCGCAAGCAATAAAAACACAGAGGCGAAGTGGAGCATAGCAAGCTAGCAGTCAGAAAAGTAAAACCACTAAGTAAAAAAAAATTATAAAACAATTCAAAAAAAACTTAACTTTCGAAAACTTGTCTGGAATGATTTTCAATTAGAAAAAAAACACTCAAAAACAACATCACCGGCATTGTATAAATATTAAGAAACATTTATCAAGCGGCAACTAAGCTGACAAAAATTGGGTAAGTTTCCCTTGAAACGATCACATAATTGTTGTCATGAAAAACGTTTGTAAATTTTGAAATTTAATGTAACATTTAATATGTAAAATTAATATGTATCGGGTATGCCCCCTCCCAAAACAAACAAAGAAATCTTCTCTTCACATTGTCTCTTCACCGAAAAAAAAAACAAAAAAAGCGAAAATTTAACAAAAAAAAACAGATTTAAAAAACAAAAAAATCAAAAACCCTTTCAAATACGGTAAAAATTGCTTAAAGCACAAATAAAATCCGTGATGTGGTAACAGCCGAAAAAAAATAAGCAGACAAACTATAAGTCAACTTTTTTGAAATAAATTTTGAATAATTTTTTTCTAAATAAAACAAATGCTGATCAGATTCGATCCTAGGACCTTTGCCGTCTCAGGCGTATTCGTTACGTCTACATCTGTGCCAGAGATTTCACGAAATTATGATTTATTATAAGCCAGACTATTAAATGATTCAACTGATTCTATTAAATAAATTGTTTGCCTGAAAAAAGTCTATACCCTGATTTGATAACGCTTGCAGACAAAATTTATTAAGTGGTAACTAAACCGTCAAAACTTTAGCTGAAGAAAAAATTGTCAACGAAGCAATTTTGAGCAAAACAAACTCCGACTTCCCGAGGAACTAACACTTAGTAAAACTTTGTTGCCCTGCGAATAACGCAATAAGTTATTAATTTAGCGAAAGTACGATAGGGGAATATTCGCTAACTATATATTTGTGCGTGTCAGGGCCTGAAACGCAGAAATATGCAGTAATCAAAATTAAGTCGATATGACATAAACCAAATCAATTTGGGCCAAATAAACACTTTTTCAAGGAAAAATGTGATTGTAACAGATAACAGCTGTTAAAGTTAAAAACACAGGAATAAATTCAAGAAATCAGCAGAAAACTTAAGTGCGACTATTAATTTTTTCCAATACTCAGTTTTAAAAAAGTTTGTCTCCTGACCTGAATCAAACCCAGGTCTATTGTCATGTCAAGCTACGAAGACTTTTGTAATGCCAAGCTGTAACTATGCTATAAAGGTAGAGATGAAGTCTGGGAAGGAGGTTTTCAACGGGGGAAAAAGTCAAGTACCCAGTTGCAATATCCTGAACTTAAAGCTGACAAATGTGTAATCACTCGCGGACAAGTGCTTGTTCTTCCGACCATTGAAAATGGGGAGGAACTTTGTATTTGTCTGTTTTCGTTTTTTTTCAACGCAAAATCAGGTACCACAAAAAATCATCCGACTTGGTTGATATATCATCGGATATATAATTTTAAAACCTTTCCGTCGAAATTTAAAACATTTACATTTAAAATTTTCAAATATAAGTTTTACCAGGTTCGAGAAAAAGTTAACTTCATTTAATTTTCCGGCTAATTTCGAGCGAGCAGGCTTAATATAGCTTACATAGCCTTGAAAACTCAGTTTAACTCAAGTAAACTTAGTTTTCGGAGTTTTTAGCGCCATTTTGGGAGTCAAAAACGTACAAAACTCTTGCAGAAGTTTCTGAAAATATTTTTTGAGAAATTTTTGTTGTTGTTTTTCTAGTAGTTTTTCAGCAAAAACTGTTGTCTAATTTGCCCAATTACCATGACTGTCGAATATTCCTAAGTTCTAGATTTTCGTTCAGAAAAAAACGACCCTAATTTAAATAATATTTTAAAAGTATGTTCGAAACATTATGAGCTAATTGCGCAGTAACCGGCTAGCCTTGTTTTCTATTTGCAACCACTCGTTTTCCTATTTAAACCGCTTTCAAAAGTCAGCTTTAAATTTTATGAATTATACTGCAAATTGTATCGTTTTTAGCTTTTACCAATGGGTGAAATTCATATATTAAATCCAAATTACATGATCCAATTAGTATACAAAACAATTCATTTAAGCAGCAAAAAATATACCAAATTTATTCAAACTATCATCAGATTTTTGGGAAACACCAACAAGCGTTGATTTTTCCCCGACTGTCGCAAGATTCATTCTTTGCAGCCCAATTTTTTGCAGACTGGTCAACACACTAGCTACATCAGATGTATTCAGAGTTCCGGCAAATAATCTACCGGAACTAACTTCCAAGTCAAACAGTTCCGTAAAAACTGCGTCATTGATTGTTTTCAAATACGGTTTGGAGTTCATCACGACACCTGAGATTGACTTTCCAAAAGCAGTTATTTTCAGCTGAGGCTGAACATCACCCTGAGTTAGATCCTCGGCGAAGGACAATTTAAGGCCATGTTTCTCCGCCAGTCCTGAACTATTTATCAGATTTGCATTCGATTCCACTTTCTTTAAAACGCCAGCCGCAACTGCCGTTAGGATAAACCTTTTCAAGTTTCCAGGGTACTCAGTTCCAGTTATTTCTACTTTCCAGTCTCCTACTAACGTTTCTGATGTGCTAGCTGAGAGAAGTTGAGCAAGTGACGTTGCTAATCTGAGCCATGGAGCATTTTCAGTTGAAAATGAAGCTATCAGAGCCGGTGAATTGATTACTCCGTTTATGGACGACGCATTGGTTGCAAAATCAACAAACTGGTTGGCTATTTCTTGTCCACATTTAAGCTGTCCTTCTTTAGTGCTAGCTCCGAGATGAGCTGTAGCCACTACGTTAGGATGGTCAACTAAGGTCCAATCTTTCACCGGTTCGTCTATGAATACATCTAGACCAGCTCCACCACATTGGCCAGAATTAAGGTTTTCCAAGAGATCGGTTTCACTTACAATTCCTCCTCTTGCAACATTGATAATCTTAACTCCTTTTTTGCACAACGCTAAAGTCTTAGAGCAAACGAGATCCTTAGTTTGTGGGATCAGAGGAGTGTGAACTGTTATGTAGTCACAAATAGGCCAGAGTTCATCTAAGGTCATCCACTGTACATTGAGCGGCGCTACCGATTCTGGGGCAACTATGGGATCGAACCCAACAGTTTTCATTCCGAATGCTTGCATTCGACTAGCAACTTCGAGGCCGATTCGACCCAGTCCAATTATACCCAACGTTTTGCCCATTAGCTCTTGTCCTGCTCCTTTACTCCATTTGTGGCTCTTCATGATAGCATTATTGTTAGCTGCGTTTCTGGCTAGAGCCACTACCATGAAACATGTATGCTCTGCAGCACTGATAGTATTTCCACCTGGAGTATTCATGACAATTATTCCGCGATTCGTAGCTTCACCAACATCGATGTTATCTACCCCTGTTCCCGCTCGACCAATGATTTTCAAACCCGGACATTTCGAAATCACCTCAGCAGTGACTTTTGTTGCAGATCGAACTATTAATCCATCCAATGACTGCAATGTTTCAGCTGGTATTTCCGAAAACTTTTCTAACACGTCAGCTTTGATGCCATTTTGGGCCAAAATATCTCTCGCTGACAAATCAATTTTATCAAGAAGAACAACGTGCTGAAGTCCGGGCATGACTATCACTGAAATGAATTAGCTGATAAATGTTTGAACAATTTGATACCACTTAATTATTTGTGAGCTTGAAGCAAACATGGATAAGTCACACCTTTTTAATCCAAGGCCGATCAACCCATTATCGTGATTTCTCTTTCAAAGCGCAATATTAACCTCATCTTACACTCAACATCATTATGATTGATTTGCTAGAAAAACCGTTGAGTACCCACAGAGCCGCATTCCCGGATAGCCGAAAAAAAAAGAGAAATTTCTGGTTAAGGTAATGGTACAAGTATGATAGTGGGGTCCTAGGAAAAAGCAAGTATGAAAAATGGGTCCCGCAACTTTTGAAAAACTTCCAGAAAAACAGGTAAACAAATGCGAACCATGATTTCGATGATTTTAGGGCCACTAAGTGTTTCTTCAGGGACCCACTTAAATTTTATCTAGCTATCATACTTGTACCAAAGTAATTAGTAACAAAACAAAATTTGACTACATAGGCAAATTCGTCACAAAATTTGGACCACTTTTTATCGCACGATTAAGCTATCTTATTTTTTTGGTACTTAGCTAACAAAAAATCTAATAGACTCAAAACATTTTCTATGCGTAATAGCTTTGATTTCGTGGAATTGGAAAGCAATAAAAAGGCAACTATTTAGATAACGCAATAATTTTTTTGGCTTATCTGGGAGCAAATAATTTTTCAGCTATCCAATGAAAAATTAATTTGATTATCAGGAAACAAAAAATTTTTCCAGTAAATAAACAAATAAGAGGAAAATTAAATAAGTGTCTTGAGATCCAAAAAGTGTTCAAAATCTCAAATTTTTTGCCAAAATTTCAAACACTTCCGTCATATAGTTACACAGTCACAAGATTTTCGCAGCGTTTCGCGATAAGAGCTTAACAGCTTGTGCCAGTCGGTCATATTTGGAAGTTTGACCTTGAGAAGAGCAGAAAACACTTGATTTTGGAGTGAAATTTAATTTTTCAAAATTTCGAATGGAACATGTCATGCACGATTTTCTCGCGATAACTGAAAATCAGAAAAAGAAATCAGAACAATTTCAGGACAATTGCGGGAAAGTTGTCAGATAAAAACGAGTGTGAAATTGCAATTCGCAATTTCCATCATAGTGAACAAGAGTAGAGCTGTCCTATCTGAAATAGAAGACAGAGTATTCCCGAGAGAACAATTATTCGAACTGGACCAGAGTGAACCTTCGACGGAAAGGTGGACAGCTTGAGTGTCCCAATGGTCCACATAAAACTGCAGTCTAGAGTAAAAACTTGTTCTTGTTGTTAAAACTGACTGACATTAAACTCATTTTAGTTACTTTATTAATTCTTGAGTTGCTTACCGACTTATTTACTTCCTGGTTCTTGAGCGTGCTACAATGTGAGTACTTAATTTAATTTCTAGAGTGTGTTTTATGATTGTTATGTTGAGGTAAGGCGAGTTTTAGGTTGATCCATCTGAAATGGATCAAAGTTCCACTGTCTAATAAAAAAGCAACTTAACGGATTGTTCCAACCCGGTTTTTAACGGCGTTCATGTATTTTGGGTATTTTGAGACCTAAGTATGGGGACGTTCTTAATTCTAGAGTGGGGGGATATTTTGGTAGTAGCCTTAAGCAGTAGCGGGTCGTAGTCTCATGTCACAAGCGAACCGAATTGGCTCCGACTGATTTGAGGTGGAAAAACACAAGAGATAGTGTCCCTGACTCCTGAGCCAATAGTTATAGGGCCTATTTTTCTTAAGCCTCATGTGTGACTGTAGTAGACGAATGTTACATAGTGTTTTTATGGCGCTCCTGGGTGTTTACGACATCAAGACTACGGAGTCGAACCCACTTGAGACAGCTTCGGGCTGAATGCCCATTCTAGAGTACCGGCGGTACGGTTCGACAGGAACGTGCAAACCTTCCGGTTGTACCGTGATAGCTTTTTAAGAAAACTCGAGAAAATTTCCTGGTACGCTCTCCGAACGAGGCTTAGCTAACCGAGTAAAGGGGGCAACTAGGGAGACAAAAACACGAGCAAAAAGACAAAAAGCAAAACAAAAACCAAAAAAGAATAGAAAAAGGAACAAAAACCATAAAACGAAAAAAGACAGTGACTTTGACACCAGATTAGTTGGATCAAACCTTTATATTAATTAAATAGTATACCCATACTGTTTTACAAGTTCGATCGTTTCGATCAACCTAGCAATTTAAACCAGTAAACTGAATAAAGTGCCCGAAGTGGGGCGTTGTCAAGGGTTTTCAGATAGCTTGGAACTTAGCTGGACCAATAGGAGACTTGACTGGAAGAGGTGACCAGCCGAGTGGGAAAGTGGTTCAGGGACACTTGAGCTGAACCAATAGGAGACTTGACTGGAAGAGGTGACCAGCCGAGTGGGAAAGTGGTTCAGGGACACTTGGCTGAACCAATAGGAGACTGGACTGGAACAGGTGACCAGTCGGGTGGGAAAGCAGCCAAGAGGGATTTGGCAGTTCTCGAGTTCTCAAGTTGGGCAGAACGGGTATCGTTAGAATCCACATTACATTATAGGAGATAAGTGTAAAATTGGATAAGCGAAATCCCCCAGTTTTGAGGAACGTTTTTACTTGAGCAGGCCTGGAAACAGGTCTACGGTTTTCTCTTGAGAGGTTTAGCACCCGGCGCTTAAAGTAATTTTTAGGCTTAAGAAGGGGGGCTAGAAAGGGGGGAGGTTAGAAGGGGGACTGGTTAAGTTAGAGGTTGGCGGTTGTAAATTGTAAAAAGGGGGAAATTAGAGTAACTAATTAGTCGACATCGTTGACTTAGTTACATTAGAAATTAACACGCGTTGGTAATATTAGGTGGAGATCCAAAATTCAACTCGAGTTAAGACTGGTACGCTGGTTGGTTTGGTAGGGGGGACCGGATATAGACAGCTTTTGTGATACCCCATAAGATCACTAGTGGGGGGAGGAAAACGCGTGGCAATTAGGTACCAGACATTTTTTTTTTAGACGAAAGGTAGACATTGGTCACCTTTGAATTTCAGGTGGGCTCATTTTTCTGTTTTTATTATTTTTCTTACTTAGATTTTTGTTGCATTTTAGTAGGGATTTGTGTTTGGTTTTATACGAACAGGTGATCACAAGATACCTGCGCACCTACATTGAAATAGAAACAACCAAAAAGGAGAGGGGGTCAGCATTTGGCTTTTAAGAGAGGGTTTTTGGGAAAATTTTACTAGAGCTTGAGTGGTGGTACAAGGTACGCTGATACAAGAAGTCCCTACAACGAGGAAGACACTCCGTGACGAGTCTTGGGACAGTACCGAAGAAGTCTTGGGACAGAGCAGTCTTGGGACAGTGGTCTTGGGACAGGGTCTTGGGACAGTGGTCTTGGGACAGGGTCTTGGGACAGTGGTCTTGGGACAGTGGTCTTGGGACAGGGTCTTGGGACAGTGGTCTTGGGACAGGGTCTTGGGACAGTGGTCTTGGGACAAGGGTCTTGGGACAGGGTCTTGGGACAGGGTCTTGGGACAGTGGTCTTGGGACAGGGTCTTGGGACAGGGGTCTTGGGACAGGGTCTTGGGACAGTGGTCTTGGGACAGGGTCTTGGGACAGTGGTCTTGGGACAGTGGTCTTGGGACAGTGGTCTTGGGACACTAGTCTTGGGACACTAGCCTTGGGACACTGGTCTTGGGACAGTAGTCTTGGGACACTAGCCTTGGGACAGTAGTCTTGGGACACCAGCCTTGGGACACTGGTCTTGGGACACTACCTTTGGGACACTAGTCTTGGGACAGTAGTCTTGGGACACTAGCCTTGGGACACTAGTCTTGGGACACTAGCCTTGGGACACTGGTCTTGGGACACTACCCTTGGGACACTAGTCTTGGGACAGTGGTCTTGGGACAGTAGTCTTGGGACACTAGCCTTGGGACACTAGTCTTGGGACAGTAGTCTTGGGACACTAGTCTTGGGACAGTAGTCTTGGTACAAGGGTCTTAGGACACTAGCGGAGAGTACTGTGATAGTGACGAATAGTCTTGGGACGGTATAAAAATTGAAGCAGAATCACAACAAGTGTGTCTTAAGACAGAATAAGACAAATCGAAATAGGTACGGTTAAGACCAAATTAAGGAAAGTTTTTCGGAGGTTTTAGAAAGAGAATTGGATAAGGTTTTTAACACGTTTTTTTTTTATTTTTTTTACTACTTACTATTAGGATAGAATCGTGTATATAACAAAATTGTAAATAAAAGCAGTTGTAAATAGAAATAATGAGGCGGAGTAGGGTACCGGTGCTCGAAAAAAGGTCAAGTGGATCAAACACGAAATATAATTCATCGCTGCGCGGGACGACAACAACGGGCCCAAAGATAACAAAGAAGAACTTTTCAGTTAACATGGTCAGCACAAGGAGTACAGCGGAGAACAGGGCGAAAGAGGGCACGGAAGGGGAGAGAGTAGAACCCACCATCGAGATTGATCTAGAGACACCCGATCAAAGTGTGGATGAAACAGGGAAGATGGCGACAGAGTCAACTACAATGCCCAATGCAGAGGAACCGAATCAGAAACCCATAGAGTTCTCACCGATAGATGACGCGGAAGATGCAATAAGCAACACCGAAGAAACGGTGAAAGAAGACTCTCAAGTAAAGAGGACATCTTTTACGGAAAAATTGGGAATAATGTTCGGAATAAAAACAAAAGAAAACGTGACTGAAGAACCAAAAGCAGAAAGAGCACGAACATTTGGGACAGTGAGCACGAAGACCTCAGAAGCCAATCCAAGAGAGGAACAAGCTAAAGCAGAGGCTACGGCCGAAGAGAGACCGACAGCTGACCATGAAGAGACTACCATTGAGCTGGGTGACTTGTTGGCGAAATTAAATCAGATTGACAAAAGACTTAAGCACAGTGAAGAAGACAGAGAGGTGATAAAAAAGGAGATAAGATACAACAAGCACGAGTATCTAGACAGTTATTTTAACCTAGCTAAGGCAACAGAGGAGAGACTCAAGGAAATGTCAGATAAGGTAGAAGCCACCAATGAAGA